ACATGCACACATAATTATATACCAGCACATAAATACAAATATACATACGTATTCTTCTTCTAAAGTATTGAAGTCCTCCTCGCACATTGAAGACACCGTCTCCTCATTAATGAAGCCACTGCCTCTTGCTTACTAGAGCTGCTGCCGTCTCCTTTTTGTTGAAGCCGCCACTTCCTCCTTATTGCATCCGCCGCCTCCTCCCTATTGAAGTTAGGCTTCAGCAAGTGGGGCCTACTTGAGTTCATGAGAATCGCATAGCACGGCGTTGGTTAAACATTTTGTTATGTTTAAATAAGCAGCTCATTGTCAAATAAGCTTGGTCTAGCATATCTACATACACATATACATACACACATACATACATACGTACAAACATAGATACATGCCTACATACATACATACAAACATGCATATACCTACCCACATACTTGCATGCATAAGCACATATGTATATAGCATGCATGCGTACATAGGCACAAGCACAAACATGCACACACGCACACACATTATTACTCACATGCTACAGCATACATATAATCACACATGCATTTATACAGACATACACACATACATACAGACATACATAGATACATATATGCATGCATACATACATAAACTCAGACATACATACACACATACAAGTATATGTATTCAAATCGCGAAATACTCTATATGGCAGCTAATAATGCCAGGGAACTGTGTGTATTATAGACGACGCGAAATCAAGTATAGCTTATCGAGATGCCTCGCTTGACCTTAACCTTGAGACCTGCTGATCTAACAAAAGTCCTACAAAGCTCAAATTAACTGCTAAGCTGACCCATAGCTTGAAGAGGAAGAGCGACAAGCGCACTATCTGAGGATTCCATAATGTCTGCTCAGCTGAAATCATTCTTGAAATGAAAAGCCTTTCGAGCGGTCCGAGCTATGCATCTTCCAGTGTCACTTCATTGTTTATTATGCGTTCAACGAACCAATCATTCATTTCATTTGGCAATCTGTCCGAAGAGCCTAGTCAGCACCTATATGACACTGTCATCGCTCATATGGCTCGACCCTGCCCATCTTAAATTTCCATGCTGTCTGCAGCAGCTTTCATTTCTTTTTTTTGCAAAACATGTTCAAGTGAGTCCTTTTGCTTTACATATTGGGGCAGGGCAGACAATGAAATGGACATTGAATTTGACCTCTCTCTGTGTGTGTGTGTGTGTGTGTGTGTGTGTGTGTGACTGCAGTAGCTTTTGGGTTAGCAGCAGCCATTCTGTGGTCATTAGCCTAAACCAAAGCTGATTCGACTCTCAGCGTCGCTCTGCTGGCTGAGATTTTCTGCAGAATTTGCAAAAAAAATAAAAAAAAAATGAAAGAAAGTATTCACAAAATGCGACGGCAACACAAATCTTCTTTATTGCTGGTACGTTTTAGCATGCACAGGCAGGTGAGGTAGACGCACACACACACACACAAACACACGGAGACACACACACTTGGACAGTTGCACATGTGTGGACTTTGACAAGAGCACATTAGGAGGCCCTAGACAAACAACTAATGGCCTTTTAAGGCATTTTGCTGTTGCCCTCTCATCCAGCTATTATTATTGCTAACTCTGTCTTTCTCTTTACATTTGGCTCTTACCTGGCACAGGTGCTGGTCCTGGCCATGGGTTTTCGATACGTACGGCATGTTGTTTTAAATTAAAAATCCAAACACACAAACACACACACTCAGACATAGCACACACCGGTTCGAGCCATTGGAATATTTTCCATGTTTGCAGTTTTTGGTCACCAACAAATTTTGATTTATGCCCTTGGGCCTTGGCTGTGCCTGGTGCTTTCTTATGTATTTCTATTGGATTTACTCAGCTGCTTGCTGCTTGCTGTTTTCTATGGCATACAGCATTCCGATGCTAGCTAAAAATATTGCGCATACGCCGCATTGCACGTTCACAGCAAATCGAATTTTTCTTTTATTCTCTGGACTACTTCAAATATCTGTCCCACCCGCCCGCGCTCCAACAAAAATGCCAAATGCCAACTCCAGTTGGCATTGTGCGCGACCAGCTCGCTGCACATGAGCGGCCAATTACACGCACGTTCCACGCTGTGAATGCATTGCCTGAGGTCCTGGGGGCAGTGAGGCAGTCAGTTCATGACTTGATTATCATCGCCCGCTGCACTTGCACAGCTGATGGCGACTGCATTTGCATCTGGCATCTGATGAAGTTGCATGCCACGTCCTAGCACCCCGCTCTCCGCTTCCCCTGAACCCCTGTGGGCTGCACTTTTTAGCGGGCGACGCAAGCAGCAGAAGCCATTGACTTTTGTGCTGGGTCAGGCGAGCTGTACTCAGCTGCACTTTGTTGGAAGAGCGTATGTCAGCCGTCATGGCCAGCGCATTTGTGTTGATTATTAGAAATAGGCCAAGCTAAACGAAATATGTTAATTTTGGAGAAATAAGTAAAAACTGTTAGTGCCTATTTATATTAGCTGATTTATAGGCTTAACTTTATACTATTTTATTAGCCGACATCTATATTTTCGGGCTGTTAGTTTCAGAAATAAACCTATTATAAAAACGCCGGGTGGGCCATCAATGGAAATTTTTGTATTTTTCTGGGCTTTTATAATACAACTGTAGAGGGTCTTATGATTTTGTCATGAAGTGTATAAGTAGTAAAAGGAGACGTCTCCGACCCCATAAAGTATATATGTATGTTATATTCTAGATCAGCCCGTCTGTCAGTTTCTATGCGAACTAATCTCTCAGTTTTAAAACTTTGCATAGGTCCGTCCCTCTGTTGCAGACAGTAAATATTTCGGTATCGGCCGAAAATGAAATACTGCAAAAACATAATAGTACAACAAGCTTCACTACACTCACATATCTGTTAAATCGTGAGGCAAATGTCTACAAGGGTATTAAATCTTCAGCATGCGGAAGACATCCTCAATTTCACGTTTTACTATGTATTCTATGTGAATTAAAATAAATAAATATAACAAGATTATAAACAGGTTATAAGTCAACTCGGTTTGAGCCAGGAATTCCAATTTAGCTCTTGCTTAACTTTCAATATGGTTTGGTTTAATATAAAAAATATTTGAAGGAGATTTATTTAGACCAATGCATTTATCCAACAATGTTTAGTAAATGCAACTAGGTTTTGGGTAGACTCCAAATTTAGCCCACATCTTGTATATGAAAATATGCACGGCTTGCAATATTTTCAGTACAAATGGGCGATTGTAAATATCAAATTCAAATGCTTGAATTTATAACAAATAACTAAATATTTAAAGCATAAATTGTTACGATTAGTTGATGTGGGTAATTTGGCATTTAACTGGGCAATTATTGATATAATTGGCTTAAATTGGGCTTGCAGTTATTTATATTACATTCCGTTCTATATACATTAACACCCATAAACCATTTCAATAGGCAGCAAAATAAGGTGAGCACAACTTTTGACTTGTCTTTGGGCCTTGGCTTGCACTTATGTTAAGTTTTATAAGTATTTTATGCCAACGTCAACGCAATTTTGGCCACTTTGCGTAACACACACTCACGCACTCATACACACACACACACACACAGCTACGCAAAGGCCCAAATACAAGGGCAAAGAGAGTGTTGGGGCAGGGGGCGTGCTCCACTATCAGGTAAAGGGCCAACTGTGCAGCCAAGTGCAAAAAAGTATGCACATTAATTCAAGTAAAAATAAATTATAAAAGCAAAAGGTCCTGCGCACAGCCGACGCCGGCGTCGAAAAATTTCGCTGCTCGTGCATTTTATGACGTTTAATGTGTTTCTGCTGTCAGCGGCAGCAGTTGCAGCCAGCGCTGACGGCGGCGTCGACGTTGCTGCTGTTGCAACTTTTCAGCAGCGTTGAGAGTGCATTTTGTTGATTTATAATAAAATAATGTAAAAATATTACACAATAATGAATGCGCGCGGGGTGTGTGTGAGTGTGTGTGTGTGCCCAATGTCTGTCCATGCTGAACTCCCCCCTCCCGCCCTTCCCCACTCGCATTTTATTGCTATCTCTTTCGCCAGCGTCTGTCTGCGCTGCCATGAAATATGAAACAAGCAAATGTTCAGCGCGAAACAAACAAAAAAGTTGCAGTAAGAAAAAAGAAAGAAACAAGCATATGAAATATGCGAAAAAATAAAACTTTTAACTAAAATTATATATGTAATGGTATGTAGCTTACAGTATGCAAGTATGTGTGTGTGTGTGTGTGTGTGTTCGTTTGTCATGTTGTTTACGTTCACATCTTGGCCATTTTTCTTTGGCAACGCTGCTTGAAAAATGTATGCGGCACTTTGAACTGTCGGCGCTCTACATTTCAAAAAGAGAGCTGCAAAGTTATGGAATTATTTATCCCAATGCGCAAGTTAAAAGTTAACTGGAATCAAATTCGACCCCCTGGTCCTCTACTTTTGTTATTTTTTAATTCTCGAAATATATCTTCAAATTTGAATATTTATTTAAGCTTGTTTTAGTTTGATTTCTTTTAATAACTTTTCTTTCGTATATGCCCGCATGGTTCAACTGTAGCGCAGCTGAAAACTTTAGCTAACTGCAATACCCTACACATATTTTGCAACACCCACTCTTAAAGTCAACACTCACAATCTGCTGTGAGTATGTGTTATGACGTTTTAGTCCTTGCAACTTTATCGCACCAGAAATTGCATCATATTTCAGGGGAGCGCGACAAAATATAAAAATACAAAGTTCACAAGCAGCCAACTTTTTTACCTGTCTCGCCCACCGCGCCCGCACAGCTCAGTTACACCTCAGTCAACAGCAGTGGCAGCAAAAACAACATCAACACATGTCAAGTAATAGGTAGAAGCCGAAGAAGAACGAACAAGTAGTTGTGCACAACTTCTTGTGGCGGCCACGTTGCGTATGAGTAATGCTAGACAAAGTTGAAACGGCTTTTAAGAAATCGCTTGCCATCGAGTTTATTAAAACGTTATGCGCTTGAATTATAATTTATAATGGCACCGGGTCGCCTTTTACAGCGCAATCCTTGGCATAATTTTGAAAATTCTGAGATAAATGCGCAGAATGCACATAATTAATGAAAGACCAAATGTCGTCTTCAGCAGCGTGTGCAGCACCAGCATTCTGTAAGAGAGCAAACAAAGTGTAATTAAAAAGTACTTAGTGCACGCTCTCTGTTTCGTTCTCTCTCCCTCTCTCTCTCTCTCTCTCCGTGTCTCTGTTTGTCTCGGGTCGGCAACTCACCTGCGATAAATAGTTTTGCGCTGCTGTAATTTATTATCGTTAGCGTTATCCTTAAAGAAGTAGCGCCTGATGCCGCTCAGATACGAGCGAAAATATTCACTCCAATTAATCGTTGCTATGTTGAACTGCAGCTTCTCACGCTCCCCAACGGGCAGACGCTCGTTCAATTCGTCAATGTTGCGATGCGCAAACTTCCATTCCTTGAGCCCGAACCAGGCCATCATATTGATTATGCGCGAGATTTTCCGATATGCCTTCACGTAGCTAAAACAACAACAAAAACAAACAATGCCGGGCTATCCGTATTGATGACCCGCTGCTAATTGAGACACACACAAACTGCCAGGCCAGACAGCTCAGGTGCTTTATAAGTAATGGGCAAATGGCTTTGGTAATGCGCTCTAATTGCAATTTGTTAAATATAACGCATACGACAGGTGGCATTATTTGCAGTTATAACATCGAGCCAATTATACTCTAATAAACTCTATTGGTTTACTCAAATCGGAAACGAACGTTGAACAGGTTTAGTTAGTTTACGAACGACTAAGCCGTGGCATATTTATTTAAATTCAGGTTTGGCTGAAGAAAAAATAACATTTATTCATATATCTACAAATAATGTAGCCAAATTTGTAGTTTATAGTTTAAGTATTAAAATGGAACGGAAGCTTTGGGCAGGCATTGGATAGAAGCCTGAATCGAAGCACCGAAGACTTATCTTAAGCTTGCAACCTTGAAGCAAATTGAGTCTTAAGATATAGGTTAAAGATCAGAGTCAAGTCGCCTAGCATAGCTGATATGCGCGCTTTGAGATCAGCTGGAAAGCATGGAATTGCTTTTCAATGTTGCGTTTAAAATCCGTTCAATGTAGCGCACCCGAAATCCACAATAGCATCAACTAACTTAGGGCACACACAAACTAACTCAATAAAACGCTATTTGTGTGTGTGAGTGTGTGTGTGTGTGTGTGTGTGCCAGGCACTATATCGATATCCCCGGCCCGGTTGTGTGCGTGTACTTACATGCGCTTTTGTCCGGTGGCCATGGCAATTAAATCTAAAATATAAGCTGGGATATTGTGCAAGAAAAATGCAATTGCACAATGCAGAGGCTTCGATGGTATTATAACGTACGAGAAGCACCTGTGACAATAATGCGGTCCAATGGGTTCGTTGTCCAAGTTGGGAGTCGTTGTACCAACGCGATTGCCATTCGATTTGGTTGGATTTTAGTTGCCGGTTTTTTCGTTTTTCGTGTTTTCCGTGGTTTGAGGTTTTGTTATCCAGTTTGGTTGCCGACGCGTCGCATGTTTGGTAGGTTTTTCGTTTTCCATTTTTTATTTTTTTTGTTGGGTGAATGGGAGTTAAGGTTTGGCATGTGTTCGGTTTCATTGTTTCAAGGTATTAGCAGAGTGTAGATAAATTTTCCAAAATGTTCGCCACAGAGAAATAGAGACATATTTAAGCATTTGGATTAGACATGCATGCAATATGGCAATGGTTCGTGCGGATAACGTTCCACAATAAAGAAATTCAACAAAGAATATGTATTTATATCAACAGCATGCAGTACAAGTACCCACACGAGTTGTGTGTGTGTGTGAGTGTGCTTAAGCAGTTGCCAGACTCACCAAAGCGACTTGTCGAATGGCTCGTGAAAGCCCTGACGCGACAGGTGCATGTACTGGCCCCAGGTAATATTGTTCACATCGGATACGTAGTTGTAAACGGGTAGCTCTGATTTGCCATCTAGTTGATTTTCACTCTGTTCAAATCTAAAATATTATTTGATTAAAAGAAATTTGTTTTTATAAATGATTAATTTATAATTAAATGGCGTATGGGAATATAAATAACTCTCATTAAGCAATTCTAACAACTGATATTGTAGCTGAGTATGGAACAAATTGCCAGAATATTCTCTGCTCGAGTAACCAATTAAGGCTCTACAATAATAAATGGAACCATAAGCAAATTTAACTGGGCTATTTCAGGCACGGCGAAGCTTTAATGCCCTTATAGATAGCAGATATGTGAGCAGAATAATAAAGCTCGCAATTGGTGAGTTTGATTATCATATCTTCTCAGTTGTAAGCAACCTACTTAAACAAATAAATAATATGTTTGGTCAAGATATCTTATGAAACCTCGTTCTTGACCTTTTGTCATAGTAGTGAGCAGACATCCAAAGGGGGCGCTCATTGATGCTCAAATTAATTCCATAAAAGGAACCGTGAAACGTGCTCACGCTGAGCCCGTTTCCTTTATGCGTTACAAACCTTATTTAAAAACCAAAATACGCTCTGCAAGTTATAAGAAAGAACTGTAAAATAACTATAATTGCATTTAAGATGATAAGCTGCATAAAGTTGACTAAGCTAAGTTGGGTAGCGAGAACCAAGTGAAATGAATAGCTCTTAAATTAGATCAAATATATCAATGTCAATAAACTAGCAGCATGTTTTAAATATTTACTAAACAAGTCTTTTATACCCAAACTGTGTTTAAATGTGCGCTTTAAAGGCAAAATGTACTCACCTTCTGGCAATATCCCAGGCGGATGCTATCATTGCATTCACCACATAATCGGCGGGCGCCATATTTGACTTGCAGCTAGCTGTGCCGTAAATGCAACGTACGAGTCCCCGGGCTGACCAAGTGCATAAACCTGATGGCCCGTACAAATTATCAGTCCAGCCGGGAAATGGATCCTTGTACGTTGACATTACTGCAAATAAATAAGAATTAATGGCTGCTTTGTTGGACCAGAGACCGGAGACCGTTGTTGTTGATTTTAGACAACGCCAAAAGCGATAATGGTCCCCCTAGCCCAGCAAAAACAAAAACCAAAAAATAAAAAAATAGAAAGCAAACTAAATTCCCCTCCTCTTGAACCCAATGCCAACTGGTAGCTGATATGCCTGAGTCCCAATTGCAAGTTTTGCACTTGAACCTGTTTTTTTTATTTTCATTGCTATTTGCTGCTGCTGTTGGTGGGGGCAGCCAGGATGCAGCGCAGGATACTAGGATGCTTTGGCATTTTTGTGTTAAAATAAATGAAAATTTGTTTGCGCTTTGTTACCGAGCTGCAGCTGTAGCTGGAGCTGGAGCTGTAGCTGAAGCTGCTGCCGTATGGCTGCGGCTCTAGATGAAGTCGGGGCTCTGGAGTCCGGGCAAGTCAGGCATGCTCTGACTTTTTGCTGGGCTTTGTTTTCGTTACGTTTCGTTCGTTACGTTACGTTGCGTTTCGTTGCCGTTGCAAAAATTACAACAACAACAAAAATATGGTGTGGGGGGTGGCAAAACTTTTTTTCCACATTCATTTATCTGCTAAACCATGGCACACTCTTCGACTTTGGTAGCGAAATGCAACGTTGTTTGCTATTTTTCACAAAAATTTTAAATATTCCTTTTTCTAGCTGCCACTGATCCTTTGGGGCTCGTGTCCAAGTCGAAGGCAGCTAGCTGGCTGCAGCATTGCGAATAATTTGTTGTGCGCAATCTAACAAGTTTCTTGCATGCCCAGGGGTATTTTGGGCTAATTATCTGACAATTAGTTTGTGAAGTCAACTTTAAAACCGCAAACTAGCTACAAAAAACCGTCTTTCACCCACACTTACCGATGGGCGGCCGAAATATGCCCGCGGGCATATGAAAAGCTCGATGATTGACCAGATTTTCAGCGCATTTCTTGGTCATCGTATACGTATTTGGCATTTGGCCAATTAGGCAATGACGCAGCTTCTCCAGCGTTTCATCATCGAAGGTGCGATAGATCTGTAAACGAGACTCCATCAATTCCAATTGCCAATCATTGAGTGTTCTTTTTAATTAAAATAAAAATTGTTGTTAAGCCAATCAGATCAGGCGGCAGAGGCACGTTTAAAATAATTATAATATTCATGAGTGCTGTTTGCCTGTTTGTTCTGAAGTGCAGGGCATATACGAATATAAAAGCTACCCTCTACCATTCCCGGCTAGGCTTATAAGTGCTGCAGCAGCGCTCAACTTACCTGCATGATTTTTTCGTAGCCAATTTCATTCTCATACACTTGTTCCTTGATAAATTTGCGATTGCAGTTGCAGTACAGTGTCGAAATGTGCACGAATGACTGCGGGCCGCAAATCGGGCAGGGGAGGGCGCGGGGGTTGGCAGTGGGAGCGGCATCGGCATCGGATGAGGCAGCATGTCGAATGTTGATTGAATTGTGTTGAAATTGTTTGCACACCGCAGCCGTAAAAATATGCAACAGCATAAAAAGCAGTATAGTAAAAAAATAAACACAAATATACCCAACCAACACACACACGCACACCCAATTGCAAGGGCAGTTGTAAATATTAAAATGCATACACAAATATTTCCCATGCAGACATGTACAATATGTATCTTGGTTACTTGAATGCGATATGCGAATATTTGACTTAATATCACGCAAAAAAAGTCCATGACAACCACAATTCGTAAATACTGCGGCTGGATTAAACATAAACAGTCGGTAAAAGGCAGCTCGTGTCTTGCCAAATATATTACACAACTTTAAGTAATTAAAAAGAACATTAATATAGCCTTCAAAACGGTTCGAAAATGGCTAAAAAGAAGCTGAATTTGTGTACAAAATCTATATAATTTTTTAAGACTGAAATCAAAACAAATAAACAAAAATTAAAATTAAATGAGAAAAAAATTGAGTAGTACTTTTTGGAGTAGAAGTTGGTGAGTGAAATATTTAAATCTTATTTAGTTTCTTCTACAAACATTTAAATAATTTTTTTGTGGTATTCAATGTAAACGATTCGAAAATTGAAATGATTTTAAATCAAAGAAATGAATAATTGAAAAAATGTTAAATTTCAACTAACATATTTTATGCATATTTATACATATTTTCCATGCAGAATTGAAACAAATATTTTCCCGATCTGCTTTTTCTATATACTAAAATTTCTATGCAAAATTAAAGCAAATATTTTGCCGTCTTGTCTCTTCTATATTCTGAGTTCTAGATTTCGTTTGGTTACATATTTGATTCGAGCTTGGGTATGCTCGAAATAGACACTTACTTACCTTCAACTGCTTCATTTGCATAGCCAAATCGAGTATCTTCTTGGTGCCCAGGACATTAATGTCAATAGCATCGCTTAGTTTCTCATTGAATTTTACCGAGGCGACAACATTGAAGACAATCTAGACAGCGAAACAAACAAAAAATGTAATGAATATTAAAATTGAACCAAAAAAACGATGCCAACAACAACAATTGTGCAACAAGAGTGCATGCAAAATGCACGAGTAGAGCATGCAAAACAGAAGCGTTTGCAGGATGCAGTTGGTTTTGAGCCCATCCTGTTGGCTGCATTCGGCGATAACCTCAAAGTCAGCACGGACACGGGACACAGGACACAGGACACAGGACACAGGACATGGCTACACATGCAACTGCTGCATTGAACATCGACAAAAAAGCAATTTTAGTTTTAAAACAGCGCAAGGACTAAACGCTACGAATCCTGCCGACTGCAACACATGGGGAAGAGAGTGACTTGTATGCAAAATGTTTTGCAAACAGCAAAAAAAAATACAAAAATATAAATAAAAAGAAAATGGAAAATAGAACTAAAACGCCGAACGGATGCGACTGGCAGGACAATGGCTCGCGCACGCCAAACACTTGAAGCATGCACAGGAATTTTCATTTATTTATATATTGTTTTTTATAACCAGCAGCAGGAGCCGCAGGACTACCAGCAGAAGCAGCAGGCACACACATATTCATAGTACGACGTGCCGAGTTTCAATTTTTGTTGAAAAGTACAAAATATATATTTTGTGCCTTGGCTTCACGGTGTGAGTGACTGAGTGTGTGTGTGTTGTACAAAGAAAAATCATAAAAAGGAAATAAACTGACTGCATGCTGTTGTCGTAAACATGGCGCCTGCCTTTGGCAGGCAGCGCTACGTAACGTAATGCACAAACAGACAAATAGACAGAGCGACAGAGAGACAGACAGATAGACAAACAGACTGAGCAGGCAAACAGACAGACAGACAGACAGACAGGATAGCAGGCCAGATCCTACCCAGATAGGCAAACACACAAAAGTTTCACACAAAAGTCTATTGATTGAATTGCCAACAGAAACAGGCAACAAAACTCCAGCTCCTCCAATCGAGTGTGCGAATGGCAATACTCACTTGGACCTCAGACGAGAGCATTGCACGGTCGGCGGCATCAATGTCCAGGTCGATGGCACTGTAATCAGCGCGTATCGGATGTACCTTCTCCAACAGCTCCGGTCGCTCCACGCGCATTGTACTGAATATCTGCAATAGCAACAAGAGCAGCAGCAGCTCCATTGAGTTTGCATTGTTCACAGCCAGGTGCCGATTGTGGTGGGGGTGGGGTGGGGTCTGGAGTCGATTGACGGGCGGCAACTCATTTCCTCAGATCGCTATTGACTTACCGATTCATTGAGGAATCCCTGCAAACGCTCCTGCACGCTCATGTTGTCCTTGCTGCGTATCAGCATGTAAATTTTACGCAAACCAAAGGCGCGCAACAATTTCTCGGTTAGCACTTTGCCCACAAAACCCGTGCCACCCGTAATGAGCACCGTTGCATCCGTATAGAAATCCGTAACCGGTGTCGCTGTGGGCGTGCCCAAACCACCAACAGCAGCAGGAGCAGCATCGATATTCGTGCCAGTGCCAGTGCCATGGCTCATTGTGTATGCCTCGCAGTATTCCGTGTTGCTGCCACTGCTGCGACGCGAAGAGCTTGTCGATGAGAAAGCCTTGCGGGGCGCTGCAATTGTCAATCATATGGTCGGGAGTTGGAAACCAGCGTGTTGTAACTTTTTCAATATGTACAAGGCACAACACACTTCCAATGGTTCTACTGATTCTCTATCAAGGCTGCAAGCCGGTTCGAACCCCGAATTTCAATTCTGAGGTGGGATACAGGGTGTTGCAACTTTTCAATATGCGTTTCACAGTTTGTAGAAATAACAACTGCCTTCCGAAGGTTCTGCTGATTTTCTATCAAAACTGCAAGCCGGTTCAAACCCCAAACTCCCATTCATCTTAAGCCAAACTACTTTTTAAAAAAATTTGTTAAACACAAACGAAAATAATTTAGGCCACATATCGTCTAGCCATATTTGGTATGAAAATATATATGGATTGAAATATTTTGAGAATAAATGGGCAATTGTAAACTTAAAACCAGGTTTCCAGGTTGTGGAAAATCAGCTTCACGAACTGAACCAGCTGACAGGCATGGCGTTGGTTCTAATTGATATAACCTTGGATATAATTTATATAAGCTTGTGTCTTTAAACCTAAAGCTGTTCTTACGCACCTTTATTCATACCTGACTTGGGCATTTTTGTATAAACACTTAAATAAAACGAACCACACAGCTCCAAGGCTGGAAACACTTTGATCGCTTTCTAATTGTTAAAAATATGATATGGCCAACGTTGTCAATCAATAACTGACAATCGCTGTGCCTTGACGATTTTCCCACCGAATGTCAATTATTTAGACGCAATACAAAGCCAATCATATATATATATATATATATATATATATATTCATGAGATTGTGTGTGTGTGCGTGTGTGTAACTGGTCTACTTGGCGAGTTATTCAACTAAATGCTCTTGAGGTCTCTGGCTGACATTGCGGTTGCATTTGACCTGCTGACCTGCACCGGACACACACACACACACACACATTGACTGTGCCAGTCACGTTAACGTAACTCACCCCCACTCAGCTCCTGACCCGCTGTCGTTAGACGCTCTCTCAGCTATTTTAAACATTGTTAATTATTCAATTATCAACAGCCCGTGCGGCTTCTTCCTGGTGCCAGGACACTGCTGTGCTCATGCAACCAAGTGTCCATCTATGTGAAAATAAGCGTTGCAGGCACTGCGTGTATCTGTGTGTTTCTGTTTGTGTGTGTGAGAGCGAGAGTGTAAGCTTAAATGCTGCCACGGCCGACATGTCAATGTCCAGTCTGTCAGTTCATTGCGTGCTTTGCAGTGTATATCTAAGGGTCTATGTGTGTGTGTGTCTGCGTGTGCCTCAGAGTGCAGCATATGTTGTTTGATTGCATGTGGCATAAAAAGAGCCGCACATATGCCGAGTATTGCGTGCCACTCGTGTTGTTGTTGTTGTTGCTGTTGTCATATTTTGTTAGTGTTTGTCAACCAGAATAGCTCCCTTTGTTTGTCCTGCTATTAGGGTAGTTTTATCAAAACACACGCGACCTTTGCATATGAATTGCGATGCAGAAATAAAATTTTAAAATTTATATATGAATAAATTACATCGACTGAATGAAGTTCTAATAAAGGTTGCTTAAAATTAACCCTAAAATATGGGATCACATATATTATATGCAGATTATTTCACAATTTAATTTTACTCAAATAAACTTAGTTTCGGATTTGCCTTTTGAATTACATTTTTAATGGCAATTAGTTTGTACTAAAATCTGGAAAAATCTAGATCATATAATCATATGGGCCTTATGTTCATATAACCCTTAAGTTCACATAAATCACGGAATATTTGTATTGGAAGCTTTATAACGGAATATACCTAAGTCAAACACTCAGCACCCTGTTAGTCGAAGCCTTGAAGATTTCTTTGTCGGAATATACTGAAGCCAGGCACACAGCACTATGTTATTTATAGCTTTTAAGAATTATTTAACAGAATGTATATAAGTAATACACCCTGTTAGTTAAGGCATTTAAGATTTCTTTAACGGAAAATACTTAAATTAGACGCACAGCACCCTGTTAGTCAAAGCTTTGACTATTTCTTTAACGGCATATACTTAAGTTAAACATACATCACCCTGATAGCAAAAGCTTTTAAACATTTTTTAACGGAATACACATAAGTTAAACACATAGCACCCTGTTGTTCAAAGCTTTTAAGATTTCTTGGCCCGCAAAGCTTCGTCAATGGCGTCTTAAGCTTTTCCGTTCTTTATTATATCCGGTTTGAGTCTGCGCTATGCTATGCATTTGGCTCAAGCTAAAAAGCTGGCGGTTATAGCCAAGACGCAAGCTTTCTAGCTTCTAGCAAAATGCCTTATGAGGCAAGGTGTATTTCTTTATGGGCCAAACAGAAAGCTTCAACGGAATGTCAAGCTGAAGCACTAGCCATAAATTCAAAACTGACATTTGCCAGTTTCCGTTAATATTTAATTTATAAATATTTCAACGCAATTAAGAGAAACCAACTCTCATGGAAATTATGGTTGAATGAATTAGTATAATGATGATAGAATTTATTATGAAATGATATCAATAATTGTGCGGTAATTAACAGGCCATAGACAAGCCTAATAGACGGGCACGTTTTTGTTCGATTCGTTTAATGACTCGAAATGTTTTTATACTTTTTATTGGTAATTTAATACAATAATTACATTAATTAGCCTTTTGATGCCAAAAACGCGCACACACAGATTCACACAAATACATATAATATATATATATATTTGAATCGATATCGCTTAAAAACTAATTCAATAATTTATATTTGAATGCTACTTAATTGATTTCGCGTGCCTATTAATTAAAGTAAATTGCCTAATGCACTTTAAAGTAAAAAATTGTTTGCAGCGAAAATAAAACTGTAATGTATATAGCAAGTGTGTAGGAATTTCGATTATTTTGATACGATTCTAACATTATTTATGCTTAGGTTAGACAAATGTTTTAAACTATTTTTTGAATAGCTTCAATTTATGCTTTCACTCAGCTTTTGCGGTGAATTGAAATATGATTTCAGAATTATACTCCACATTAATCTTTAAGAATATTACATTCAATTGGTTGGACTTGTGGAATGCTTTGCCCAACACATTGAATGTTTAAGTATGCATATGTGTATATGTATATAATACTGTACATGGTTTTGCAGCTAAGGAAAGTACGCACACATCATCCATACGACCGACTTGTGCTCAGTATGCACATCATTCAGAATTCCTAACATTGTATTTATAATCACAATTCATAATTTCGAAATCACAGAGAAAATCGTCAAAGCCAATTGCCTCATTGGCGCTATCTAGAGTGGCTGCCATAAAATTTCGCTTTCCGAACCGGAGCCAACGCCTCCGACGCCATCTGGCTCCCTTGTAGCGGGCTGCTGCACTCGTGATACTTCGCTGAGAATGCATGTGCCATCGCATTCCGTTTGACTGCCGAATTCCTGTTCACAAATGCAGCTGGAACTTTCTCGGGACTCGGCTTTGAACAGCGCCAGCTGCATACCCGCTCCCGCAATGCTGGAATTCACTGGCACCTCCTCGCTGGACGACGGCAGCTCCATAAGCGCCAAATCATCCTCGCACTCAGCCACATTCGGCTGCAGTGGCTTAAACTGATTACGTCTCCATGGCGGCATCGTTGCCTCACTGCCTGCAAATGTCACCACGGTTTGGTGTCCGTTGTTGTTGTAGCTGCTGGTCTCATTGGCATTACCAATGCCAGTGCCATTGCCATTGGCTTGATAAGCGGTCCGGCCAATATTCAGGCCTGTCTTGCCATTGCCTGCATTCCGTACCGCAAAGAAATTGTTGCGTATACGCATTGAGGAGTTGGCATAGGTCGACCGTATGGAGCTGGCGCGGGTGTGCATGGAAAAGGTTCGCTCGTGCGGCTCCAGGCTGGTCTTGAATTTGCAGAAGCATGCGGCGAAGCGTTTGTTGAATTCACGCTTAAACTTCTCCTGAAATACACAAATTCCAGACAAGCGAAACTTTTATTGGTTTGGTCTAATAAAATATTTACAAAGTTTGCGACCCAACGATTTCTTAATGCCTTCAACAGACCCTTATATATGTTTTAAAATAGACTTTAATACATCGTGTTAAATTCCCAGTCGATTAAAAATATAAAGTTTTTATGTTCAAACACTTTTGAATATGTTTTTCACAAAGGGTCAGTCATAAAATACTTGAAAAAACTTTTTACAACAAGGACAAATTTAGCAAAAATTTAAATTTTCACACCCAAGGATCCTTTTGACATCTTAATATATGTTTTAAAATAAAATTTATAATTCAGTGTGATTATAAATTTAATAATCAAGATATTTTTTTAACACAATAAATACTTGCAAAGAAAAACTTTAAGAAATAATATCAATTTTAGATGCCAGAAAAACAGCTCTATCTAATCCAGACGAAATTTAGCATGGTATTTGGTTAACTTTTGGCAAAGAGATACGAGTTTGGAATTTGGAAAGCAACCTTTTCCGTGCTTAAGTTGATGCTCTCCATTAGCGCTTCTAATATTATAGAAGTACGTAAGTTTCTATGCCAGAAATTCCTTAGCCAAAAAGTTACTAATGAATGTTGAGCTCTGATTTTATTACTCGTGGTGCCATCTGTCACTTGGGCTTTTGAAGTAAACTTCTCAAACCTATCCCCAAACACCATAATTGGCAACAATCGTGGTCTTGTTTCCATTTCGACGCCTTGACACATTTTGGTGTTTGTGTCGGCAAAGTTTTGTCTCAAAAATATCTACGTTTTTATGGGCGGCCCACACGTGAACAGATGCTATTGTCTGGATTTGGGGAACAAAAAAGTTTACGTGCATTTACTTGTCTTTTTATCGATTTTGCGTGCGTCCATTTGCCACTTCACGAAACAAATAAAATATTTGCGCTTTTATTTCTGCGATTTGCAGACTTTAGCTTTGGGCTTTGTGCGTCTGGCCGGATTTCGGTAGGTGTTTATTTTCATCTTCGTTTTTTGATTGGCAAC